GATTGGGATTTATGGCCAGTTACTAGTGATTTTCTTGCCATTTGATAGTGTTTTATGCTCGATTTGAAAATGTTTTTATTTAAAAAAATGTTACATGGCAAACTGGTATCGAATAGTTTATCGACAATTACAAAAATATATGGATTCGACTACAATATAAGCGATGTACGGATTACCTGCATAGACATATAAAGTTGCAATGCAGATGAGATCGTATAAACTATTAAAAATATGTTATACTGTATTTTGAATGCGTTGAATTCCGTACGCCGCTCTCGTAACTAATACGCATGTGCAATAGTTGTTTAGCGGCTACAAATATGCGTAATCGTGTTTTTTTTCATGAAACGAATACTATCTGGTGTGCTGCAAAGTAACATATTTTGTTTGCAACAAATCATAATCATCAACGTGCAGATAATATAATAATTTAAAATGTGTTTTGTCGATATTGCATTTTTATATCTAAATACGCAATTTTTCTCTACACTCTAAGCATAATCTGACAAAAAATGACGAGGCCTATATTCGGGAGCTATGATTTGCATATTCATGAGTAAAGCAAATGACCCGTCAGCGCATGTTTTAGAACGAGAGCACTTATCGTCTGCTTGCGTCTTATCGTCTGCTTGCACAAGTAAGTGTGATCGAAGGAGGGAAAACTGGATACTACAATGTGGGCGACTTTCTTGTTATAACAAACAGTTATTACAACAACGGGAGATCATAACGACCGTAACAGTCACTGTGTTCAATTATTTAGACTCGTTACGCACATTGTCAAATATGCCATATACTTACGTGTTATAAGACATTATTGCAATAGCTTAGATTGACGCGTCGAATTCGGTATGCAAATTAAGGCCATGGTATATGCAAATCGTAATGTAATAAATAACACGTGTTGTTTAAAGTGTGTTTATGATCATGTTGTTATAGCATGATTGATGTGCACAGGGACATCTATTAATCTAATTCTCTTCTACTATATATCGAAATAACAGTACATGGATGTGGTATTGTCCAAATGTTGAATTACATTACGTTAGCGGACTGCGATACTTTTAGTGCGTAGTATGCAGACAATGTCAATACAACTAGGAAATTTCACCACTTGGAATATATTGTCAGTTTTTGTTCCAGCGATTGGTGCAATGAGCCAGCATGTGGGTGAGTTATTTTAAAACATTGTTTGCGTTTATTCTAGTTCAGCAGGCTGAGCCCCGAGGTATGACACGTATTCAAGCTTGCAGAGTTTAACTCCAACAATACTTGTCTCTCAAAATAGAAATAATTGTTTTATTACTATTTAGAATTATGTATTTTTACTATGTCATAAAATCGTGTTTATTACAATGGCTTTGTGACTAATAATATAGTTATTACTCGCGATGCCTGGTGTTATCGAATGGGACCCATAATGTACCATTAAAACGACCCCCATAACAAAAACAGGCTACTGACTGGTCAAGAGATGCAGTAGTACCGCTAGTCCCTAGAAAAAGATGACATATTTGAAATTATAATATATAATGTACTTTTGTCTGTCATAAACCACAGCTATGATTCTATTCTATTCTATTCTATTCTATTCTATTCTATTCTATTCTATTCTATTCTATTCTATTCTATTCTATTCTATTCTATTCTATTACGCTAATATTTACGCGGGTAAAATATTTGCCCAAATTTAAATAGACCGCATTCAAACAGACTCCTAATAGCGTGAAACGCGATTTTTTTCATCGACTACACGCGGTTTGAGTAATCGGGACTCGGAACGCAGACGACTCAGAAATCAACACAGAAAGAAAATGTTGCTCGCCGTTCAGAAATTTTGCTCGCGCAATAATTAAAATAAAATTGACTTTAAAAACAGTTACTGAGGTCACCAGCAATTTTTTAGAGAAATGGTAGTTATAAACGATTTTAGTTACTGCGGACATTTTGTCAGTATTACAAATGCTCTCTATAATGGATATATTATACCAGAGGTACATTACTTGGGGTTTGCAACTACGGTGACATGATACCAAGATCCCGTTACAATCTAGCTCTCGCATAAGCGTTCCAACTCAGAAAAATGCGAATGCGCATGCCCAAGGTAATGAGGATACTGGGATGTCCAGGTGGATCAAAATAGCTGCTCACGATATGACGGATTACGATAACTATATTTGCTGTACATTTTCGATGTATTAAATCGCCTATGTCATGTCAGAATGGAGTAGCATCAGTCTCGCTACCTACGAGATGAGACTTGAATGGGATCTTGGCATGATGTCACCATGCAGTACTATGCGCGTTGCAAACCCCAAGTAATGTACCTCTGATTATACTCAAATCTCAAATTGTTGGCTAGAATTATTCCTCGTAAGAGGTGGGATAGTTATTGTTATCCTGAACAGATAGTGGAAATTAAAGAATTATTTGTTGATGGGGAAATTACGTTCCTTCCTCGTACTTCAAATTATATTAAAGCAGCGAGTGTATGAGTAGCTGACACCACGCTATATCGAGCACTTGTTTTGGGCTACGCCCTCATAGCATTCTGTCCCGTGGTATTACCTATACTTGGGGTTTGCAAAATTATACTTTAATAAACACTTGCCCGAGATACTCAAGCACAAATAATACTGAACTGAATGAGTAGCACGTCCTATAAAGTCATTCATAACCATCTTGTGATGGGGTGGGTGGCAGTCATCCTTGTTTAAATTGACATCCATATAAACGACCCAATACCCGCAAATGCAATTGGGTAAATTAACGTTCGCCAAATTGTCGTACTTGTTTTTGCAAATCGCCGATCAAATAACACATGTCTATCAGGTTACAACAACCCGTCGTCATGGTTATTACCTTTTTATCATTTCTGTATTTTTCCCCTCATTATCATTTTGCATTTTTACAGGTTTCAACGACCACAAAGAAGTACATTCCAGCACAACCACGGATGCACCGAAGACAACAGGCCAACAGTTACACAACACTACCATCGGTCTGTTGATATTGTCCTCTCTTCTGTTCATTGTCATTGTGTTTCTTGGCCTCACTCTCTTTTATCAAACACACAGACAAGAAACACCATCGAAGAACAGATTAACAGAAATGATTGAAAAGAATCTGCATAACAATTTTTATACCGTGTCCTTGAAGAACCTGGAAGGAGGAGTTCACCAATCAGAAACCAGGACGTAATTATTGGTTTAGTGCTGATTTAACGACTGCAAATTAATTACATAGCGTAAATTTAAGCAAAACCGTAGTTATGAAAACTACCGATGTTTTTCTTCCACTCAAATATAACGCTAGCTAGGCTTAGAATTGTGTGTTTGTCTTCAAATTAAAACGGTCGGGTGAGTGGTATACCACGTGATCTTCGACTCTGTCAATTTGGGAAGAATGAAGTGAAAGATGAGTTAAAGTTCACACTAATCTGTTTTCATCTGTGCAAGCTAAATGTATGCATATATTACTATTACTGATAACATACTTAGCATATTACTACAAACCAGTAAAAGACACAATACTATACTTGGGGGTAAATATCATCTATTATGAAGTTTCGAGTACGTAAAAATGTCCTGGGTGACAACTCGCCATATTTAATTCAAAATCACCTGTATTTATAATTTTATAACAAATCTGTACCAAAGCTCGATGGCTTTATGTAATAAAGTTTGCAATAAAAATAATAAAATTGTTTCTAACCATCAATAAAACACGATTAGTAGATTGATACGCAGTACCCTTATCATACTACTAGTATTATTAGAATTTCCATCAAGTTATAGGGTCACGCAGCGGAAGGCCCTTTCTTTGGAATAAAGAAAAACTTTACAGTGGCTGATATAATTGCAAAATTAAATTGTACTTTTTATGGGTGATTTTATATGTTATTTCCTATAAAAATATGTGTCATTCCTCGAAATTTTCTACGGTTCCCATCACGTGGCTGATTTCAACGACTACCAACTGGGCATGAATTGCTTTTCAGTGGGCTTAGTTACTTATGTTTTACTGGTTTCTGAGCTTGAGTCGACAACTGCATACTGTATTAACAATGTGTGATCAACAGTGCGCCTACATATTAATTACCTGCATCTTAAATATGTCCAGAAAGATCACAGTCTCTTGTAACGCAAAATTAAAAACTCTTATAAAACCCAGTCATTATAAACTTACAGTAAAAGGAAAACAAAAACATTTCAATAAAGCAAAACAATGTATTTATGTGGCCATGTTTTATATTTTCTAAGCCAAATAACCAAGAATATCAATTTTCGGGGGGGGGGGGCGGACATCCGAGCATTTTCACCACACGGCAACCTTCACGGTGAAAACAAAGGCGAAAACAAAGGTCGAAAACTCTCAAAAAATGGTACTTTGGGATGGTTGATGTGACTCCCCTAAACAGTGTAACAGGATTACCCCTGCATGTGTAACGCATATAAATGTGATTGTTCAGGATTACTTCAAAGTTGAGTTCCTGTTGTTTTCTCGAACTTTCACCGGCTTTTCACTCGGCGTTCCACGTTCCCCAGCAGCGCGCGCAGAGCCCATAGAAATACGTGGTACAGTGGTGCGCGTCTTAGCAACGTCTTGTGACGCAGCTCCGCGCCGAGAATAGCCGAGTTAGAAGAGATGTAAAGTGTACCCACAATTAGATGATTAATATGTCTGATGTAATATAGGTGAATATTGATTTATTTAGGTCCCATATAACTGAACATATAAAATTATATCTGGGTATAGCGCTTTGTTTATTTATACAAATTTTGCACCATTCATATTAAAGGGCCGCGTACTGTTCGATATGGGACTCATAGCGACGTATACAACGCGTGTAAAATACATTGTTTATTTACATGAAATTCGAACACGCGCTGCGCGACGACCACCGCGCTTTAAGTGAAAAAAACAAAACAAAAAACATCAAAATCGTTATTGTTCCACTAGTAAATGTGCTTACATAAATTATAGAGATATTTCTATGGTTAATATTTTAGTGACATTTTAATGATTCAGTGTACAAACTTTGGTTGAGAAGAATTTCTATTCGAGATGCAGTAATCAATTCTGTGAAAAGACAATTAAACAAAATTATTGTATTTTTATGGAGCAATGATTTACACCACATATTAAAAAAAAAAAAACACAAGTGAAGAAAAGCACTGATCAATATTTTGGATTTAAAACGAGTTCAGTAGCAAGAAATCAAAATAACAGTATCATGTGCGTTGAAGACATAACAGCAAGACTGGCAAAGTCTTCACTTCTTTCTGGTTATTTGTTGAAGTGATCTGTTGAAATCCTATATGACCAACCAAGAATATCTATCTTTATTCAATTAGAAGCGCCCTCAGTAACTGGTTTTCATACAAATACAAAGCAGATGGATCAGGGATTTTATATTTGATCACACCATATATGTTCACTTTTATATTAGTTTGGTAAGATGAAAGAAGTCTAGATTTAGTTTTGAGAGGTAGCCTACACAGAAAATAATCTTAAACTGAACAAGAATTACAAACTCAGTGAGTAAATTAAAATAAACACACTGTGAAATTTTTTTTACATCATTTCCAATAACTTGAAATTGAACAAAGTATTAGGAAACATAACTTGTGTTGTTAATGATATTAACACATTGATTATATTAAAGATTGTTAATCTGGGTTTAAATTTCGCTCATTTACTATTTCATATTCAGTGGGTTTTAAATTCATGGTGTTATCATTTAGATAATGTGTTCAATGCTAAATTTTACATATTCACTGGGTTTCAATTTAGCGCATTTTCCAGTCAGCGAAATAAGCAAAATTAAAACCCAGTGAATAATTAATCCTTATATAGTATATAATATCAACTCACTGGGCCACAAAAAAAACAAATTACCTTGGAGCCTTTGTAAAGTTCAAGCCCTGTCCATGTATATTGGTTTTTAAACCAAATCCATGCATTCAAATATATGATATATTTTTGAAATTTTTGGAAACACAGACATTTCTTTTCATGTGTGTGAAAACTGACACGCTATAATTAAAGATTACAAGCTGTGCAGGACACTTCTGAAAAAGTAAGTAAAATGTTTCAAGGAAATCAAATCTCATTATTGTTTATCAAAGCAAAGTAAAAATGTCACCAGAATAATTATAGTATAGTTCTAATCGTACTGAAAAACCAGATGGGGAGCAGATTACTAAGTCTAACTGAGTGGGTTGTAACTACGATGTGAAGTACACGTTTTACAGATGCATTGTTCGTGCACCTCGATTGGTTTATATTGAATCCAAGCAGTGTCTTTGTCTTTACACAAGAATTCATGGTTGGCATAACGCATTTTAACCGGTTCACAAGTCTCGGGACACTGCAGTAGTGGTTCTTGTGATTCGCATCCAGCCAAGTATGCTGATGGGTTGCGTACCAGTACAGGGGTTGGTTTACAGTCTGTAAAGAGGACATATATATAAGAAATGTATCAGTGTTCTCCCAATCTATTTATTTTTGTAGTTGTGAGAATGTACATACTGCATAACAATTGCATATTAGTTGTAATTATTAACATACTAACTCAATTAATCGGCAAAGGCAAAGTGGAAATGAGCATTGTTGTGGTACCGCCATGATTTTCGTATTTGTTGTTGACATACAAGTCATTGTCACTTTCTATTATTTTGTGTCTTTCCAATTAAGCATAATGATATGCATCAGAAAACCACTCCCATCATACTAAGCACGATTTAAATTGATTCTGTTTTGTCCCAGAAACTGATTCAGACAAATTTAAATAATCGTTTTTTTTGGGCCCAAATAACTAGCAGTCAACATGTTGTAGTTAATAAAAAGGCTGAATAAATATAGACATGGTTCTTCTAAGGTTTGAATTCCACAAAATCAGTCACAGAGTTTCCAGAAATAGGTAAGAACAAACTATCAAGCAGCCTCTCGGCTGAGAATTGGAGATATCATCACAAAATAAACAAATCTGCGAGAGTTCAACCTGTAAAACCTACATTAAGTATATGTAAAATATCAAAGCAATCAGACTTGAGAAGTCAAAAATATCACTTTTTACCAAAAATGACAATAATATTCATCAAAATTAGTGAATTAAAGATATCATCACAAAAAGAACATAGCTGAGAGAGGTCTTCCTAAGGTACATATATACCATGTATTAAAGCAATCAGACTTGTAGTTTTCAAGAAGTCAAAAAGGTAAAACGTTGATGTGGATGCTGATGTACAACAACAACAAACAATTACTCATATGATAACAAATGATCATGAGTAAATGTGGATTTCAATTATATCGAAGAAATAGTTGATGATGAAATTTGTTGTTTCTGTGTTTTTGGAAAAAAAAAAGGCCCAAAGTGAGTTGTACTTTGAACAAAAGCGGTTATATTATACGTACCACACTTGACGCATCGTCGCTCATCCCTGTCAGGCTCACCACAACTTCTTTCTCGGTATTGTAGACCAACACCACAGTAATCGGCAGAGCAGTGAGACCACGGCCCCCATAACATATCCTTCTTTTCGCAATTCTCAGCAATATCAACAATATCTGTTGAGAGACAAACAATTGAAAAAAAAGGAAAATTGACAAATCAAATGCTGCTTTAGATGATGTCACTGTAAACCATTTGAATTAATTCAGAGACGCAATTTTGAATCCGGATTCAAGTATCGTGAAATTTTGTTGCAGTCAAAATCCCTAATTTTTTTTCTCTATATAACCCTCTGGAAATATGATTTACTCCTTAGTATGCTTTATTCAACAAAGTTCCACATTCATGCCTCCTCAACTTTTGTCTCTGGATGGATTTGACAGAAATACATACACTAATGGTAAACATTTATTCGCACACTACTAGTAGCTTCGCAGTGAGTGGCTTTCGCGATAAGTGGGTTTTATATCTGATGGGTTTCGCGTGGAGTGGGGCTTTGTCCCAGTAACTGGTCTTTTCATCCTTGTTGAGAATTAAAGTTTTATGTTTCTTTAATAACTGGTGCTATTCTGGGAATACCATCCTGGCAGGAGTTCCAAAATAAGACTCATGCTCTGATAATGCCTCTAGTTTCAAAGCCCATAAGCATTATCATTATGGTCTTATTGGTGTTGCAAAGGATAGTTCAATATTGTTTATTGAAATTAATAATTCCCATAACCGTTTTCCAATATATAGACAAATTGTAGTACGTAACAAACTGTATAACTCAGTCTCAACAATGAAATAAAGGAATGTATATATATATTTACATTATTACTAATGCATTGCAATACAACTAATTCAAATTAAAAGAAATTACAATATAAAATATTCTATCAGTAATACTTCTCAAGGGCGTATTTCGCGGTCAGTGTTATTTACGAAATATTTGTTTATAGGTTTATAAACTTGCTTGGCAATACCCACCCCAATTAGATATAATGTGTACATATTTTAATAAATAAAACTGAAATATTAATTATTTCATATTTTATTATATAACCTGCACAAAAGTAATCAATATTGTTCCTTGCTAAAATGATGTGTAACTTCATACGAGAATCCTGATAAAGTTCACAACTGGCGATTTAGCAATATATGAATTGTCAACTTCCTGTGAATTTGATTACCTAACGTTTTTAGGTTTATGCGCTACAAATTACAGAACACGTACCTAAACGGCCGCCCCCCAGCAAATAATTAAGCCAAGGCGGTTTCGATATCGATAAAGAAACTCTCCGTTTTCACACAACCTGGGAAGTTTGAATTACTAAATGAAGTACGGGACGACGAAGCTGAAATATCCAAGAACCAACACATACCAAAAATCTCTAAGTGAATATTCGTGGTGTATTTTAAGTCTAACCAGATCGGAAGTGCACAAAAGTAATCAATATTTGTCCTTGCTAGAATGATGTGTAACTTCATACGGGAATCCTGATAAAGTTCACAACTGGCGATTTACAGGATATTAAAAAAAAGTCAGCAAATGTCAGTTGCCCATGCCATGACAGCTGGCCACATAACCAAAACAATCTGTCAGCCTTCGCCGCCCACAGCATCGATATGATTTTACATTGCATAGAAATGAACACTAAATGCAGCTATCCTGGCCAGAAATCAAATCATCAATCTTCATGAGTGATGTAACTGGTATTTCCACCTATTTGCTTAGTGGTCCGTAAGTGAATGTTGTCGAGAGTTCGAGAGTGTGTTTTAACGTACAGCGACGTGAGCATTATTGCTACAATTTTGGGCTTGAACATGTTCTATATTCACCCAAAACAACAAAGAACCTAAAACAAAAGTAATCGTCCGATCTAAATGATCTGCGTCTATGAAAATCAAGTCTTATCTCCCTTGCGTTTCCGATCGAGGTCGGGCCAATCTACCATGATTGTTTGCTTATCATCAATTCAACCAAGCTGTTAGATTCCTGGACACGCAGTGATCAGTGAGGCCTCAAATGACACTCACCTTCATGAATTTAGGACGTGAATTCAGTTTTATTACAGACAAGCTGGGGAACAAACTTTCGTGTTGTAATTCTCTCTGGTAAGAGAATAGTCAACGATAAATAAACATGGCGACAATAATGCAACATTTTATTTCCAGTTTTCGGGCCCAGGAGATTTAACCTTATGGTAGTGAAATATGTTGTATTTTTTTAACCTACTTGAGTGACTCTAAAACGCAATTTAGTGCACATGAATTTCCCAACAAAGGTTTAAATGTTTTAGTTGCCTCTGGTGTGGCACTGGTGTGGAAACTGTCGAATAATATGACGACAACCTTCAAACGCATTGTTATGCTAAGTTGATTCCCAGCATGTTTGTTGACACAGATTTTTTTAATGTTCTTGGCGATAGGTACGTGAATTTGAACCAAAATGTTATCGGCAAGACTCAGTATGCGACAGTGACAGCCACTGAAACGTTATTGAAGGCAAATGAACACGTCAGGCAAAAAAAACTGTTTCGAGTTTTGACGCTTGAGGGGAATGGAAATCAGTTGATTTGAGGGTGTCACAATAAGGGACGACGTCAAAAGATAAAAAAACATAATTCTTTTAGTTTTTTCCCAAAACCTCCCACTGAAACTTAATTGATAAATATTGATCATGGCGTCAGACTACATTAACCATTAAATACAAATTGATAATCGAACAGTAGTATGGCATAGCAGTTGGTTGTAATAATGAAGCGGAATATATGCATGCGCAAACTACTTTTCAGGGTTCTGCGCATGCTCTAGTTCCAAGACCAGAAATTGACCTCATTTGACGCACATATTTACACTCGGACCAAACCATTTTCTTGTCTTGGATGTTTTTTTTTTCATTTTCTGTTATTTTTTTGACTTCATTAAACAATAAAACCGTTTTTGTAGGATGGAAACTTTTTGAGGTCAAACCCAACCCACCCCCACCCCCAAACTAAAGCAAATAAGTTTTTTATCCGACATCGATCTTTTGACGTCGTCCCTAAGCAAGGGAGCAAATCGTTTTTATGCTACGAAAAAATGCAGACCTTGAACGTATTTTTTGTACTTTAGTACTAAGTCATTTTTGTTTGATTACCTAAGGTTTTTAGGTTCATGTGCTGCAAGTTACAGAGCACATACCAAAGCGGCCGTCTCTCGACAAATAATGAAGCAAAGGAATTTTCGATGTCAAAATCGCGAAACTCACCCTTTTTACACAAACTGGGAAGTTCGAATTACTAAACAAAGTACAGGACGACGAAGCTTAGATATCCAAGAACCAACACATACCAAAAATTTATCTCAAAAGTGAATATTCGTGGTGTATTTTACCTCTAACCGGACCGGAAGTGAGAATTTGTTAGTACTCGAAATATCCAGACATATTTTAGTATAAGGTAAAGGTAGTAACCATGTGCACAAAATTACAGTGTAAATGAATAGGTAATTTACAATTTTGAGAAAAGCATTTACCAGGCACAAAAACTTCACTACTGTAAAATAATTTAATTTAGCTTCAATTAGTTTCCAGTGAAAAAATTATTTGAGTGTTTTGTATGGAGTTTATTTTTTACTAATTATTGATTAGTTGAATGTAAAAAATTGGAAAAAAGTTATTTTCACTGAATCTTATTTCAAAAGCCTGTACCTTGAACTGCTTCTTCTGACTCCACACACGTGATGTCAACAATGGTAGTAGACTGGTCCAGCTCACCATTATCACTCATAATCTAGAAAAAACAAAACAAACTAATAATCTACTATTATCTACTTATATAGTTGTAGGATTGTATGTAAATTTGATATGCAAATTACTTCCATACATGGATTTGTCAAAACCACAACACACATGTCCTTATATGGTCACATTAATACTGATTGATCAGAATTCATCATGTGATTATTATATACAGGGATATGGATATCTCTCTTCAAAACTGTCAAAATTATAACACAGTTAATACGGAACCGATATGTATTAAAAGTCAAGTCGTATCTGTTATCTGTTGGTAAATCAGTTAGCAACAATGTTGCCTTAATAATTTAGAGACTTTTTTCAAGTTTCAATTTGAAATTTACACCAAAGTAGCAAAATATCAAGCAACTGTCTGCATTCCAATAAACAATCAAGAGTACCTGCACTGTTATTTGGTCGATAGGGGATGACTGGTAATCCTCACGACACTCTGGAGTCTCATACAGAATCACATCATGAATAAAACCTCTGACAAGAGATATTGAAGAACGAATGATAATCTGTTTGTTGTCTCTCTCCATTATCTCCATCATATCATCACCTGAAAGAAAAATTACAAGTCTCCTCTTTATTTATTCCTATGTTAATAAATTTAAGCCAAAGCAAATGACACTAGAATACATGTAAATATATGCCAAGTAAAGTTTGTCAATCAAAGGCAGTAGCTCATCTCCAAACTCTGTTCAACACCTCAACTGGCCCAGTCATGACAATTTTATATATATTTTTTTCTTAAATCATGGTTCGATGCAAAATTACCACGACTGGTTGATTCTGCAGCATATCCATTGCTATTACTAATTCATGATATGCTGAGACGTTTTGGAACCCAGAAGTGGAATACTTCTTCATTTGAGTAAAAGATTCTACGTGGCAGGCCATGCATGCATTATAGTTATGTAGAACAAGTCGGATCAAAAACTGCCTTCTTATTGGTTGCCAGCTTACAAGTCATGCTACTCATTAGCATATTTATCACCTCAAAAACATAGTGACAACTATAGAGGGCGCAGCAGAATAGACCAGTCAAGGTAATTTGGCGTCAATGCGGAAGAATTTACAAACTCTAAAGGAATTATCATATAAAACAATAAAACTGCCACGACTGGGCCAGTCTAGTCAGCACCCAACAAAATGTATCAAGCTGTTAATATAAAAATTTTCACTGAACACACTTAGACATACATATTATGCAGAACCTGTCCGAAGATTTACTGCATACTTTATATGCATATAAATCAAGACACATTTTCAGATTAGCAAAAGTAAATAAACAAGAATGCATTTGAAATACAAATCGACCGATAACTCACTCAGTTCAACGTGGTGAATGCTTCTACTCAGGTGTAGTTCTCCCATTCTAGTGTAGATACGAACAGTCACAGCGTCCTTCTCCTGAAACCGTGCTATTATCTTGACCATATCCATATGTTTTATCTGTCGCTCATCAGCACATATACGGCGTGGTACACTCAGCAATGGCAGTGTTGGCATGTATCCATTCTTCACAACCACGTCTTGGTTTACTATTTTCTTTGGCACAATATCACCTGAATGAAACTTTGAATTGTTAGCCCAACATAAACCAATGATATTTAATTGGGAACTTATATGTACCGATACTGCAGGATTATTTAGTGTTACTGCCCTCTAGTGACAGTAAGCGAAATTCCTTTGTCTTTCAATAATAACTTTTTTAATTTTTTTTTTTTTTATTACACAACTTAACCATTTGTGGGTTTAGTAAGGTAAAAAAATGAATACAAAAGACAAATAAAATAAGACACACTAAAACACTAAAAATAAAATACACTGAAATTCAACATAGAAAGAAATACAAATTAGAAAATCTCTGAAAAATTGATTAAACAGCAGCAAGTTTCTCCCAGACCACAGTTACATATTTATCTTTTAGAAAATTGTATTTTTTAAATAATATGACAAAGCCATATTATTTCCCATTATTTTCACAAAGCTTTCCATTCTGGACAAGTCATTAATTTTTATTTTAAAATACTTCAAGACATGTTTTCTCTCTACTTCATAGAAATTGCAATCTAAGATGAAATGCATTTCATCTTCAATTTGATCTGAATTGCATTTTTTGCAAGTTCTTTTATTTTCTGGGGTTTTTGGTTTACTCTTCCTTCCCAATTCAATTTCAAGGTTGTGGTCACTGAGCCGGAACTTTGCTAACACTCTACGTTGGCTGAAGTTTTTCATTTCATTTTAATAGATAGTTTTCTAATTCAAATTTTTGTTTAAATATACTATATGTTCTAAATTTGTTCCCCTCTTTTTTATTTAATTGTTTTCTCAATGATTGAATAAATTCATTTGATAGCTTTGTTTTTACAACATAGTGCATGAATTTTGTTGAGATCAATGTTCATTTTTATTCAACTGTATTTTTAAACTTTTAAATAATATACAAATACCAAGTGAATCTATTTAATATTCTGAACAATAGTATAATCTACATGTAATAAAGAAGGTGAAGTAAAAAACATACCATAAATCAGCTTGGCTGCCGTTGTTGTTACTCCATACTCTATCTCGACTTTAGTCCTACCCCAGAAGTCCTTCAGTGGAGTGAATCTTGTTGACTCTAGTGCTTGTAGAACTAAAGTTGCTGGACCAGCAATGCACATCTTGGTTGGGATTGATTCATGAACCGCCATGTGATCAGAGTAAATACGCAGACTGTCTGGTACACGTGGTATTGACACTAAACCAAACTCAGATCTCAACTTGACATGAAGAATGCCTATCAAATTGAAAAGAAGAAAAATAACAAAAATTGAAACCAAGTTAATTTGACATATAATTACCACCATTACAAGTTACCGGTACACAAGTTTATCTATCTGTTTGAACTTGTTCATACAGGATATACGTGTATCAAGTTTACAATAAGACATTTGTTCCTGTCTTCTTTTAAATGCACAGAAATTGCACACCAGATTTTACACCCCTCAGATTTAATGCCATATCCCAACTAGCACTGGCTCAGAGAGAATGGGATGGGGGTTGGATGAATCGTCATCAAAGAATTCAAAGTCACAGATTTTATTTTTTCCAAATTGCGCATACATTCAAACAGCAATGCAAAAGTAGTACCGTACTATGAATACAATGACTATATATACTGATTTTAATAACTGTTATTTTTACGTTACTCATGGAATTGATAAAAACATAAAATTATTTACAGTTTTGGGGAAAAAAAACATGACATACCATTCACATCTTCAGGAGGTATTGATGATCTAATATGTAAATCTTGAATCTGTCCTTGTCTGGTTTCCACTAATTCAGTATTAATTCTGAAATCAGGATAGTTATGATCAGTCTCCACACATTTGGGATGTGTCTTGTAAACCCATAGAGTCAAGATGTCTGCTAGCCGTTCAGATTTGTCCTTGTACAATTCAATCTACACAAAAAGAATAATATATTTGGAAATTGTTATCCTAAGTATTTCAAATAGCAATATATCCATAATAAATAAAAGGTTTGTCACATCCATTTCTTGTAAAGTAGAAGTTGTACTACCATAAAATCTGTATTAGAAGCTGCATTCCCAATAAAAGCCACACCCATTCTTTTTGAACAATTGAGAACCAAAAGTTCATGATTCCTCATATGTGTAGATGGCTCTAATAGAAGCTGCATCCCTTCTGTTGCATTGTACCATTTCAATAGAAGTTGCGGCTTCTAATACAGATTTTACAGTAATAGTGCAATTCAAGTATGCATGTGTTAATAACAAACAGCAAATATCAGAGCAAAGCTGAGACAGGAAAACGGCACTAAATCTCACCTCTACAGTAACCTTACAGATATCAAGATTACCATGTGGGAAGTGAACTTCAATATTTTGTATTCTTTCATTGCAGACATCCAAGTCATCACAGTCAAAAGTAGGTGTACCAGTCTCAGAGTTTTCAACCCAGGCATCCTAATATAATAAACCAATGTGATTTCAATAATTATGTTCATAATCCAATAATATGATCTCAAATATTAAAGGGCAGAGGTCGTTGTACCGTGCCTTATTCATTAAATGGGACCGACAGCAACATATGCAATGTGGGTAAAATACAATGACTGTAGCATTTCAACTTTTGTCACTTTTTACAAAATTAATGTTTTTCTATAATTTTTCAAAAGTTGCTGTTGAGACATATACTCCAGTTGATCATGGACAATTATTATTATTAAATTACAGAAAAATAGGCAAGTTAAAAGTTACCCAAAAAAATTATATATGCAAATAAACTTTGATTGTAAAGCCAAATTGGCTAAAATCTGGGTGATGGATGTATTTGGCTTGGTTGGGTTTGTGTATTGATTCAACTAACAATGATTTACACCATATGCTAATAGCTCACTACCAAATATAAATACACATGGTCAAGGTGAAATTTTTGAAAACTGAATTGCATCAAAAAGAGGTATGGGTAATAATGTTATGTGATTTGGTATATATGTGGCACAACCAAAATCACCCATTCATAATCATAATATAAACACACTATTAATATTTGCATAATATTTCACAAATCTCTTTCACAATAACAAGTCTTTAACTGGTACATATCATTTCAAAATCACAGAACTGAAATAAATTTCTTAAATAAATAACCAATATTTCATTACATTTTGTCATATAATATTCTGAATACACATACCACATCTTCCAAAATCCTCATGTTAAATCTCAGACGTAGATCTGTTGACTGAAGTGCCCTTATATACAGACTGTTAATGTTGACAACTTGTCTAGTTTCACTCTCTGGACAGTATGTAAAGTGATTTCTAGGTAAATAAGAAAATAGTGAAACAATGAAAACCTTGCCATGATTGCCAGCTCATAAAAAGTATGATGAAAAATTGTTTTTTTCTGAAACACCCAGATAGACCTCATTCGCAGAAGGCCGTTGCCAACTCATTGAAAGTGAGAGGGCCACAAGACTTTTTTTTGCCCTAAAATAATTTCTAGACATTTCACCCACTGCTCACCTGACTATGGTATTTGGCAACAGTGGTGTGAAGGCAGTAGAAAATAGAACACTATTTTGGAAAATAAAAAAAAGTCTTCATATCTATCTCACTCATTCCTGGCAAGATTTCAGCGGCCATATACATCATTATCAACTAATTTTTCACTAATAAACATTTCAATGAAATTTCTGATGATTGTACTTTCATAACCACTTGAATGCCAAAATCATCTTTTGTTGATGAAGACATGTAGCAAATGGGGAAATTATGCTCAATATGCATGTATAACATTCAAAACTATTTGTGTACCGATTTGTACTACAATTTAATCAGGACTGGATTTCATCACAACATATCAAATATCAAGTTTCTCCCTTGTCCACCCAGTGATTATTCAGATATTGGTGGAACAATATTTGGCACATTGACAAATCCATACAAACAAAGAAAACATCAGTGTGACATTGGTTTCCCATTTGTTTCCCTGCACACAGGAGAAAAAAATACAGACAAAAAGTTGGACCGACATTTTTGCGAGAAAAATCAAGGTGTTCAAAGAATAACCATACGTTGTAATGAGACTTTTTGGTGAAGATCGGGACTCCACGTGAATATACGCAGACCACTCATCTCTCTGTTCTGGCTGTTCTTCTGTAGGCTGACAACCGGATGGTGTGACCTCTGTGACCTCAACTTGTAGATGTGTTGTCCAATCAGAGCAGACGTCATCCATCCAATAAGGTGACCAGATACGTGGCCACCAGTACCAGGTCTTGGATGGGAATGGGTACCAAAAACGAGGATACCTGTCAGAAGAAAACAAGCAGTTTATTACATGTGGTTCCAATTTATTGACATTTTAATCTGCAGATTTGAAAAATAAATTGAAAATGCATGTACATCTGTTTAGAGAAATCATAAAAAAATAAAATCCTCAAACAAATTGTGACATGATCTAGTCATCCTGGATTTTGGTGAACTCTTCACCATGGCAAATTATTCTCAGATTTGTGCTACTTTTTCCAAAGATGCCCCAG